TTACTTGAAAAAAAAAATTAAGAACTTAAAATTATATCATGTAAAATAAAAACTACAAATAATACTTTTATGCTTTTTATTATAATTTTAAAATGTGTAAATATGAAGATATCCTTAAAAAAATCTCAGAAAAAGACATTTTCCGGAAAAGTAAACTAAACACCCCATGGAGTTTTTTGCTTGTGTTTTGTCAGAATGTAATATTTACTTTCTTTCTTTTTTTTTTGAAAATGTAATATTTACTTTCATTAGTGAATTCAAGATGCTGTAACTGTTGTGAAAATTTTTCATCAACAAATCTTGTTGGAGAATAAGGAGGACCAACGCGTGGGTTACCCTCCTAGAAAGAGAAGTTTAGCATCGGTTATCCAAAATAAAAAAATAGAACAACAGTTTTAAGATGAAAGAAAGCAACAGTAGTTAAGAAAATAACCTAAAATCACAATCACAATTTTATTTTCTGAAAGAACAAAATGAAAGTGTAAATCATCTGAAGAAACAGAGCTATACCTCGGGTTTATGATTACATGTGTTTATATATAACGAAAATCCTCATCAGAATGCCAAAAATTTTTCCACGACGAACTAGATTACCCAGAAATGGCCCCTCACCTATGTTAGTATTAATGGTAATCAAGGATAAACAAAGTAAAGACTGGTTAAGCTACTACTGTATCCGTTCATCTGACTGATCAAAACCTCAGGTGGAAAACTCTTCCCCTTCTTTCCTACCATTTTGCCTGCATGCGCAAATTTTTCCAACTTAAAAAGGGCAATGAATAGGTTATGAAACCTGCAACTCGTACCAACTTGATTATAACTCGTCATGGTTCTCGCCTTCTGCTGCAACCTTTTCATCAGCCAGGGCATCTGACTCAGTAGCTGGTTTGTCACCTTGTGATGTATTCTCAGATGTTGAGTTGGAATCTTTAACGTTCTCCCCATTGCTGGCAGTTTCATTTTTTACAGGCTTCTCAACTCTAGGCTTTGGCTTTGGAATTTTATTAATTTATTAATGCTGTCAACCTAAACAAACAGCAAGAATATGTGAAGATAAGTACTCACAAAACACGTACGAGAATGCTGTTTTTCAGCGTGTATGCTAGTCCAGACTGAAATCAACAAAAAAAAAAATAATGTCCTTTCATCAATACACCCAAACTCATGGGCATTAAGGGTATTTTTGACATTTCTATGCTGGACTGGCAAAACCTTTTTTGTTTACCATCAATAATATAGGAGCTTTGAAACTGTACCTTAGCTTGCAAATCCAAAAGCTTCCTGTATACTTCTTCAGATGTGAATGTTGGGAGTGCTGAATGCAGAAGTCCTGAAAAGATTGTTAACATGCAAGTAAAAAAATTTAAAGGTCAGATTGAAAATCAGTACTTCAATAGCACATAAGAGACCTTGGAACAGACCAAAAAAGAATACAAGCCCTCAGTTTGGGCCAAGGAAGACAGGTTTTGGGCAGGAAGGAAATTTGAGAGAGCAAATCCTACTATCCATCTTAGGCTCTTAACTTAGAAAACTTTTATTAAAAGAAAAGCTTCTAAATTCAACCATATTCTTTGAACCTATTCTCTTCGCTTGGGGTCATACAACTAATTATAAAAGCAGAAACATCAAGCCTCAAAGGAGCTCAGTTACTACTCGCAAAATGTAACTACTCACAAAAATAAATCACATGTAGAAAATATATCTTACTTCGTCTGCTCAGTCTCCTCCTCTTTCAACCAAGTTTTGAACTTGTCTTTATCACCAAGAGCTGAAAAGAAGAAAATTAAAAAAAATTATCAGCATAAGCATCATGTGACATGTTTTTTGCATACTCAAGATAATATCAGGAAGAGAAGAGTTAATTTAAACAGAAGAAGAACCTCATCAACTCTTTCTTTTGGAAGCCAAGGTTATTTTCCTCCCAGCCTTGAATAACCTGCAAGATTCCCAGAAAAGAAAGATTAATTTTACATGAAAAAGGATATTTATATGTTAAAAAGCTGCAGACTGAATGGAATTGAATTCCTTTGGGAGAGGGATAGTAGACTGTTGAATTACAATCTCACCAAAAGCATAGATTAGCAAAGGATATGATAGAGATAAGAATAAGATAAGCTATCAAAATAAATTGAGTCATGAGAGTATCACAAAAGTGAATCTAAATGATCCAGTTTACTTTCTCCATATATATACGTGATGTTGACTATGGTCAATTTACAAATTCGGTTGCCATCTATAGAAAATTTTATTTTATGTCAATCCTTCTTCATTTAAAACTACATTTTTTTCTTCCCTTCATTATGAATGGTTGTAATCTGAATAGTATGGGGAGATAAAATCAATATATTATTGAAACATGAATATGTTACTTCAATAAATTAATGCAGTTAATATGTAAGCCTTCCAAACTAAACATTACATACCTGCTGCAGTTGACCAAGGTATCTTTGGGAGTATTCTACTGCTGTTGGCCGTTCAGTTAGTTCTCTATATCTAAACAGTCATAGAAAAATTATATAGGCAGCCACCTTGAGCATTTAAGATTTGTGATATAGAAGAGGCTTAGGTTATACCCAACTCAACTTAATGAAGCCTATATCCCCAGAAAGTAGGTCATACAGGAAAACTATCAGATCACTAATAGCTGTTAATGAATCAAGGCGTTCTTGAAACTCCTTAGCTGTAGCTTCTTCTCCATCAGTGTATAGCCATTCTTGAACCTTAATTAATACATATGCTTATGTAAAAAACTTAAAAGTAAGACCAAAAGGTGAACTACCAAAATAACATAGGAAAATAGGAGCTAACCTCATCAAGCTCTTCCATAAAGGACTGGTGTTCATCTACGGAAGATATTTTCTCAAATTCTTCACAGTCAAGCTGATAAAGCAATAAAGTAATCGAGAAAAAAAGTTAAGATATCAGAATTGCCTTTCTTAGAATAATTAAACAAAGAAAGTAAACACTCTCTTAGAAAATGTAAAGAAATAAAACAACAATCTTGGGAAGCAAAAAAGAAGGCAAAACCCCCAAATCCACCCCCTATTTGAGGGTAGAGTCTGATCCACCCCTCAAAAAAATGCAGGGACAAATTGCCCTTCCAAATTATAAATCAAGACAAATCACCCATATTTAATGTGTTATGTCAGAATTCTGTTTGCCATGTAAGCATTTTTAACGGAAAGATGATGTCACACATTAAAAAATGGGGGATTGGTTTCAATTTATAATTTGGAGGGACAATTTGTCCTTGCATTTTTTTGAGGGGTGGATTTGTCCCTGCCCCCCTAGTTGAGGGGTGAATTTGGGGGTTCTGCCAAAAAAAAAAACAGCCACTTGAAAAGGCAGAATAATCAACAAGAATTATTAAAAATAACATAATAAACATTTGAAAAAGATATACCAATCTAATACAATGCAAAAACTAAATAAATGAAACCGAAAAAAAAGGGTAAAAGATAAAACCCATTAACTCAAATGATTCAAAACTTCCACATATGAATAACATTAACAGGTAAAACTCAATAAATATGTACCTTTTCTTTTGTAGCATAGATATAGCTTTCAAGATTATTTTTAACTCTGCAGTTTTTCTCCGCTCGGCATCCTTCTTGTCCAGGGCCTCCAATTTACCTTTGGCTTTAGCAAGAGACTCTTTTAACAGAGACATTCCAGGTCCTGCTGTTTTCTCCACTATCTACAATCAAAAGAAGATATGATAAACTTTCAATAAAAATGACACTGTAAAGACAAAAAACAAAACAACTGTAATTTATAAATAAGTTTTAAGGTAGCATTTTCACACCTTCAGTGGCACTCTAAATGTTTTTTTCTTCAGCCTTTTCTTTGTACCAAGATCAACTGTGCTTGGTTCTTCAACAGTAGTGTCAGTGTTAGTGTTAGTATTAGATGCTCTGCTCACTACACTATCAGAATTTAAGCCTTCTTTATTTTCTTCTGGTGCCTTTTCGGCACCAACTTCAGCAGATATGTTAGATGAAGCAATAGTTGCATTCTCTACCGATATATTCTTTCTGGGAACTTCTACCCACTCTGATATTTCAATAACAGCAACTGCTCAATCTAAAGAGACCATTCCACTTCTGCTAAGTGAAAAGTGTAGGTTTGTTTTGATAGGTGCAGATAAATTGTGAGATGAATACCTAGAGAACACACAGATTGCCAAGAAAAACCATATCATGCATTATTTGCATGCTAATGAAGAAGAAAATAACAAGTTCTTTAAAGCACTGAGACTAAAGAAATCCACATAAAATACTTACTTCTCAGATACTTCTGCCAAACCAGACACAACATACTGAGCAAACACAGGGGACAAAAGATCGAGTGGTAGAAGATCTTCACTTTCATAGCCAAGTGAAACTCCAAAATCTTTATTATGGACGATGGTCCTGAACATCTGTCCATAAAGAAATTAGACACCGCCATTAGCAAAATTAGAAAGGAAATGCATCTGCTTTCATTTCTGTCAATTTCAGATAACATCTTTTACCTTACTGGGGAGTTTCTTCATCCGTGGAACAAGCAACTGCTTGTTGCTATCGTCTTTGGACAGATCAGGTCCATCTAATTCAATAATGAATCCATACAAAGAACCATCTGTCATTCCCAGCTTATGATTCAATTTGATTCCATCGCTTAAATCTGCACCATAGAGGGCTGCGCCAAGAACAATTGCTTCCTCAGCATCCAGGTGTTTGTCCAGCTCTTTTCTTCCAAGAAATCCTGGAGCTTAACCTGTCATGGAAAAAGTAAGTTTACTTTCACATTTTTCTTTCATTAAATAATAGCCGTCTAGCTAAGGAACAAAAGGACAGGTGAAATTTTCTTCAAACAGATGCAGATTCTTTTATATAATAGCCATAGCCCCATGTGGGGTGGGTTCTGAGATGGGAGAGGGTTGCCTGTCATTGTGCAATCCAAAATCACAAAAAAAAAAAAAAAAGAGTAAAAATGA